GCTGGAATTTTCCTTTAGAAAGCAGCCACAGCCCGAGTAGAGAAGCCTGTCCCCTGCCAGCATGCAGCAGAAAAGGACCCTTTCTTTCTGTAGGTAAGCAGTGGTCTCTCTAAAGAGGTCCGACATGCCCCCTGCTGAGTCAGACCTATAGCTCTGCCATCAGTAAACTCACGTTCCTTGGGGATTGGAGAGCTCTAGCTCTGTCTCAGCAGGAGGCGTGTCAGACCTCTGCAGAGACACCACTGCTTCCCCACAGGGAACAAGGATCCTTTTCCGCAGCAAGCTGGCAGGGTACAGGCTTCTCTACTCAGACTGTGGCTTCTGTCTAAAGAAAATGAACTGGGGGGGGCTGTTAAACCTCTGCAGAGAGACCACTGCTTCCACACAGAGAGCCTCCTCTGCTGCATGCTTCTCCAGAGATGCCAATTTATGGCAACAGTTCAGAAAGTGATATCACTGCGGCAGGTCTTATTTTCTGGGTGTTTTCGGGACTTTTACACACACAATCCTGAATGTTATCAGCAGCAACAAAAAACCGCCACCGATGATTGGCCGTCATATCTCCGAGGGACCGGCGCCAGTTCACTCTGACAACTCCAGAGTATTGGCCCTGTAAAGGGAGAGACGGGCAGACCGGGAGCCCCAGGTCCCTGCTGTCACCGCAGCCGCACAACCTCATCCGAGTGTCACCGTCACGACGTTCCTTCTGCCGGGATCGGCGCCTCTCGGGGACGAGTAGACCCAGACGAGGTGTCTGCTGCGTCCGTGGCCCCGGCTCCTCTGTTCCTGGTTATCGACGTCTAAGGGAATATCTGCGACGTTCCGAGGGAAGTTCTGACATTCGCTCCAAGCTTGCTCCCTTGATGGAGTGCAATCTCAATACAAACTAGTAGTCCCATCACTGGAGCCATTTTTAAAAATGTATTTTATTGTTTATCCGATTAACCGAACTTAATAATCGACTAACTAATCGATTTTGAAAATAATCGTTAGCTGCAGCTCTAGACTGCAATCTCACCTTTAGTTTACTAATTTGTAGGGATGCACCAATACCGGATTTGCGGTATTGAGTACGAGTACCTGAAATGTACATTTTAGTACTCGTCGATACTGAGTACCGATACCGATACTTCCGGTAGCGTGTTAATAGTTGCATAACTCCTCCCAAGAGCCCACCCACTGCTTGCATAAGGTGGGCGTTACCCAGGGCGGTCTGCATGAAGATACCGCCTGCCTAGGAATGCCCACTCCTCCAGATTGACACCCACCCATCAAGGCCTGTTGATATTTGCATAACTCCTCCCGAGAGCCCACCCACTGCTTGCATCAGGTGGGCGTTACCCAGGGCAGTCTGCATGAAGATACCGCCTGCCTAGGAACGCCCACTCCTCCAGATTGACACCCACCCATCAAGGCCTGTTGATATTTGCATAACACCTCCCAAGAGCCCACCCACTGCTTGCATCAGGTGGGCGTTAACCAGGGCGGTCTGCATGAAAATACATCCTGCCTAGGAACGCCCACTCCTATAGATTGACACCCACCCATCAAGGCCTGTTGCTATTTGCATAACTCCTCCCAAGAGCCCACCCACTGCTTGCATCAGAGCTGAGGGCTATTGAGAGAAGAACTGAGGCAGAGTCCTGTATTGTTTTCAGGAAGCTATGTCCAGCACCCTGCTGGTCCCTCCCACCAGCCGTGATCTGCCAGGCAGAAGCACATGTGGAGATGCACAGGGGCCCAGTGATGACATCGCTGGGTCTAAAAAAAAAAAGGTATGTAATGATAATAGAAACGTTTTATTCACACTTGTCAATAGTATGTTGACGGGGGAAGGGAGGAGCCAGTCATGAACTGCCTGCATTGCACAGAGAAGCACAGGGACCCGGAATAAAATAAAGTTTGTCATGAAAACAGAAAGGTTTTATTTAAAGGAGAACTATGGGGTTAAGGGTTTTCTCCATAGTTCTCCTTAGGGTAACGGGAGGACACCAACTAGCGTCCTCCCGTTACCCTAAGCTCAGTATACCGCAAGGTACAGCTCGCGGTATACTGAGACGATTGTGCCGGGATCCGCCCAGCTGCGTGAGTGACAGCTGGCTCTGCCTATCTAGAGGCAGAGCCAGCTGTACCCGCCCCCTCCCCCGTCGGTTCCGCCAGTCAGCGCTGGAGGATCGGAGCGGGGAGAGGGGAATCCAGCCCCTCCCCCTGTCACGGCAGTGACAGGATCGAGAGGTGAGCGAACCCGGTATGTGTTCGCTCACTTCCCGATCTACTGAGCCGACCTGTGACAGTCTCATTGTCACAGGTCGGCTAGAACTATGAGGTGAGTGAAAAGCACCCCCCCTCCCCCCCCTCATAGTTCTCCTTTAATAAATGTCATTCACGTGTTGATGAGCGGAGAGAAGAGGAACCAGGGAGGGCAAAGCATAGGCAGATTAAACGTACAGTAATAACCGACAAAGCTTCAATCAGCCCCTGGACTCCCAGCATCTCAGGAAACCCGAAACCTCAGGCGGGGCATCCCTTGAATACACCGTGACCGAAGCATAAGATGAGACGGGATCAGGGATTACTATTGGGATCGCTCAATTTGCATCATCACTTCCCCGCCCGGCAATGTCATCCAACAGGACTTTCCGGCTGCCTCTCCTATTGGCTGCAGACCAATGTAAACAAGGAGACCGGTGCGCGTTGCAGGATCCCGGCTTCAGCACACGGATGAGGATTTGCCACCGCGACACAAAACCTCAGGACACCGGCAGGTGTAACAAAAAGAAACTTTGTAACCGACCGGCGGGAACGACGCCGATATTGCCGCATTCACCTACCGGAGACATTTTTATTTTTCATTCTGCGCACACTTATTATAACGCACATTTTTTTTTACATGAAAACTCACTTAAAGCCCCCGAAAAAATTATTCATCTTTTCTGAACGCAGGAACCCCGCCGCAAAATCGCGCATATTTCCACGTGATATCGCTCTATGTAGCTTGTCCAATGCATTCCAATGGAGCTGCTCACATCTCGCAGCTCAATGTCGCCTGTAGCTTGTCGCTCGTACATGACCCTTTTTTTCCGCGCATGTCGCGCGATTCGGCCCCCAATTGACTCAAAGGCGCGAAATCACGCATTACCGGCGATATAGCGCGACAGAAGGGTCACTTTTGCATTGCAAAATGGAAGGAAAGAATGTCGCATCAAGATCGCTGTTGATTGGTTACAGCTCAATGTAGCAGCGACGAAGTCCCACCCAAAAAACGCGCTATGTAGCGCGATAAAATGTGCACTGTCGCTCACGCAATGTAGCTCAAAGCCGCTCAGCACGAGATCGCTCGGAAAAACGTGCAATGCCCACGTCGCTCAGTGTGAATGGGGCCTGAAGGATGAACCGGCGTCAGCTGCAAATATTTATCCCAATTTTTTATCAAAATGTATATTTTTAGTAGTAAAAACACTGAAATTCTTTTTACTGCACAAAAAACACCAAATATAAAAAGGAGAGGACGCGCTGAGTAAAGAGATATCACACACGTCCGGCCTTAAAGCTGCGCACGTCGAAAATTACCTAAAATACCCAAAATTGGCCAAAGGTGACCCTTTAACCCTTACACTGCCACCGGCCGTATACCGTACATCACTGGCACCGGGGCCCTCTAATCAGACTGAGCTGCCGCCAGGGGCCGGTGAAGCGTGCCCCCTCCCTCACTCACCACCCAACATCTCCCCACTGAATGGGGCCGCAACAGACGCTGATCGTCTCACTTCCGGTGCCTCAGCTGTCATTGCCCAGCAAGAGAAGCCAGTGAAGAACCTATTGAGGCGGCCTCCATCTGACTTGCTGCAGCTTCTAATGCACATTGTGAGAAGCTCCCAGTGTGCAGTGACATCAGAGGAAGAGGAGCCGGTACCACTGTGCAGGACTGAAGGGGAGGCCGGAGGTCAAATATAAGAGGAAGGGGAGGCCGGAGGTCAGATATAAGAGGAAGGGGAGGCCGGAGGTCAGAGAGAAGACTGAAGGGGAGGACAGAGGTCAGAGAGAAGACTGAAGGGGAGGATTAAGACTGAAGGGGAGGACGGAGGTCAGATGGAAGACTGAAGGGGAGGGCGGAGGTCAGAGAGAAGACTGAAGGGAAGGGCGGAGTTCAGATATAAGACTGAAGGGAAGGACGGAGGTCAGATGGAAGACTGAAGGGGAGGACGGAGGTCAGATGGAAGACTGAAGGGGAGGACGGAGGTCAGAGAGAAGACTGAAGGGAAGGGCGGAGGTCAGATATAAGACTGAAGGGAAGGGCGGAGGTCACATATAAGACTGAAGGGAAGGGCGGAGGTCACATATAAGACTGAAGGGGAGGACGGAGGTCACATATACAGTGTGGTAAAGATTCCCGTCAATTGTCAATGACAACAGCCTCTCATTATTATCTTTTATTTATATCGCTCAGTCATATACAGTAACCAGAGGTGCAGCTTCCTTAACAACCAGTGATGCTGACAGTAGGAGGCAGAGACTGATGGAAATGCTGAGGGACTAGTTTCCCATCAGGACCGCTCTGCTACTGATTGGCCGCATACAGTGAGCAGATTCGGCTATTGGCTATGAAGTCCGCCCACTGCTTGCGGTCAATTAATCGGCAACAGAGCGAACCTTATGGGGGAAGTAGTCCCTCAGCATACCCATCAGGCTCTTCCCTCTTAGCAACATCACTGGTTGGTAAGTAGCACTAAGTCTGTATTGAATCCCCCCCACAATGCTCATTCACACCGCATGCGTCACGTGCATTCTGTTGCGTTTTCCAGCTCCAGCAAAAAGCACAGGAGGTTCAATTATAAAACACAGGACTGCGCAGCGGCGAGCATTCCCACAATGCACGTGTTCTGAAGCACACCAACTGGGAACAAGCCCCATGATGACAGGTGCTCTTTAAATGTGCCATTGAAAGAAGTGACGGTCCCCTCTGACACACAGGCACTGCATGAAGTTACACAGCACGCGCAAAGAGCACCTGCCCCCTGCAGCAGTTCACATGAGCTGGAAGTGCCCTTTGACCCCCCCCTTGCTGCCCCCAAACCTGCACTCACCTGCCCCAGCTGCAGCTGACAAACTCCACTTCCGGC